TAAGGGAGGGGGGAATATTTAAAAAAAAACCTTACGTATTATATAATAAGAGTGTATTTTTTAAATTAATATAATTATTATTAAATTATTTTTTTCTTATGACAAATGAAGTAGTTTTTAATTTAAGATGACTGATAAGTAAAAAATATATTTTCTTTAATTTTGTTATAATAAACTATTTAATCATGAGACTATATTTTAAATAATGATATATAGACTTATATTTGTTATAACAATTAAACTATTAATTCTAAGTTTATATAAAATAATAATATATAGAATTATTTAATTTTTGTTTTTATATATAAAACAAATAATAAATATTTTTAAATTCACATTTTATAATAAAATTTTATTTATTTTTAAATATATTTCATATATAAATATAATTTTTATTTATTTTAAATTAAATATATAATTTATTTTCATTTTTATTTAAAAAAAAAAAAATATTACATTAAATTTTTAATATAATCATTTTAAAAATAAAATTATATATAAATTAAGAATAATATAAAATTTCTTTTATTAAAAAATTATATTATATATATTTATTATTGTATAACTTATAAATTTTATTAAATTTTAATTTAAATATAAGTATTTTATATATTATTATATTTGAAATTTACAAAAAAAGTAAAATAAGAAAAAAAATATATATTTTTTGATAATCAAATAACTAATAATTATAAAACTTTAAAATTTTTTTTTTTTAAGAAAATTTTATTACCAGTTATATTAAAATGATTTATTAAAAAAAGATTATAAAAAAATACTATTTAATTGTTGTAAATTCTTTTAATTATAAATATATTTTTTTTTAAAAAAAAAAAATATTAAAAATAGTATCTAATTAAATTAATATTTATACAGTGGTGAAATGTTAAGAAATAGTATCTAATTTTAATATTTATACATGATAATGAAAACACAAAAATATATAAAATTAATAGAAAAATTGTTATATATATAATAAAATAAAACAATATATATAAATATATAATAAAAAAATAAACTATATATATTAATTTAATAATTTAATATTCAAATTTAACTATTTATTAAATTTATAAATAAATTATCCATAAGATTTATACTTTAAATTATTATTAATATTATTCTTATTTATTTTTTTCTTTTATATTTTTATTATAGACACTATTAAATATATATTAAAATACTAAATTTATACAATTGTATTATTTTTTTATATAAATAATAAAAAAAAGCATTTCATCAAAAATTATATACAAAAAAAAAATGAATAACGAAATTTTACAAATAACAAAATAATAAATAAAAAATCAAATATTTTAAATAAGTCAAAATAATAAAATAAGTATAAAACACGTTTTAAATAAGCATTTTTAAAATGCAATTAATAATTATTTTTTAGAAGACTACGCTAGTTAACTTTTAAAAGATTAGATGTAGGTAAAAACTTTAAAATAAGTAAAGAAGTTAATAATACAAACCTTAAATCAAGAATGTGATAAAATATCAAAAAAACAACCAAAATATATACAATTAATTAATGCCTATAATCAAGCTCATAAAAATTTTAATACATTTGAACAATATTAGTAGTTATTATATGATATAATAATAAAACAAGAAGAAAACAAATACTAAGAATTTTCTAATGGATGGTTAAGAATTGTTTGGAAAAGAGCCATAGCCTTTTTTTATTACATTAATCTAAAGATTAAAAATTATAGTCTATTTTTGAAATTTGGAATAATTTATATCCAAAAGATTAAATTTTTAAAAATAAAAAGGAAAACTTAAGGCATTTTTTAGGAAATCCAAGCCCTTCTAAAAAAATGAAACTATAAGAAAATACTTGTGTTTCTAGTTTGACTGAACATATTAACTTTTTTTTAGAAAATGACTATGTTTAGAAATAAAATAATAATGAAAATATAGAATATTTTATACCTTTTGTATATACACGTCCATAGGAATAATAAAATTTAGAATTCTTAAAATTAAATTAATATTTTATAAGTAATAATAACAAAAATGATACTGAACTTTTATATTAAAGTCCTATTTTATAATAATTTAATTAATATCCTACTAAAGATTAATATATATTTTAAGTTAATTAAGATTAAAATATAGATTATTATTTAAATTGATGATATTTTTTTTCTTTTCTTTTTCTTATGTTTTAAATACAAAGAAATTTCTTTTGTTTTAAAGTATTATTTATTAATTTAATTATAAATTTTATTTTTTATATATATTTTGTTTTATATATTATTTTCTTTTATAAAAACATGTTTAAAAAAAAGATAATTTTTTATTTTATTTATTTTTATTAAAAAAAGATATAAAATTATATAAATATTATTATATTATATTATAAATAAATATTATTATATAACAAAAATATTTGTTTATTTAAAAAAATATACATAAATTTTAATAACTAAAAATAAAAACATAAATATAATAAATAATTCAGTTTAAACAAAAAGAAAAAAAAAAAACACATAAAAATATTATTTACGACATTAATTAATTTATTTATATATTAAAGAATAAAAGAGAAAATCATAACATTTAAATCACTTAAGAAGCTGGGTTTATTTAAGATATTCTATTATTATTTCTAATTCTATATTCATCAATAGGTTAACTCATCTTTTTTTAATTAAATAATTTCTTCATCTTATTCACATTATAACTTCGTATAATGTATGCCTTTTCAATACTCGTGAATTTACTTTTTTTCAAAAAATTATCTTAAATCCAAAATTGGAATGAATTTAAAATTGCTGGAATAAAAACCATAACAATAATTAATTTTAATTATGGGTATTTATCAAGTCTTTATTTTAATATTATTTATTTATTTTTTTAAAGAAAAAAAAGTGTTACCCATTAAATAAGAATTAACCTAGCTTTTATAAAAATGAAGAAAAAAAATAAGAAATAATATACAAAATCGATTTAGAAACACTAACAATAAAACTCCAAACAAAAAGTTATAAAATCCATATAGTATATTAGATTTTTACAATAGGTTTTAAAAGACTAAAGTTTTCTAAATTTTCTATATATCCGTTTTTTTTATTTATACTCATTTGTTCACCTGGAGTAATTATTTAAAAATAGTTTCCAGTTTTGAATTTCTTATTTTATTTGTTTGTTTGTTTTTTTTTTTTAAAAAAAAAAAAAATATAATTTTTTTTATTTAATAAATAATTTTTTTACAACTAAATTAAATCTGTCAAATAAACCTTCAACTATATTCAAAATAATAAAACAAAAAAGCACGCCTAGTGTAGTATCTAAAAATATCGTCACAAAATACCTGTTTTTTTATATAAATATATATAATAATATAAAAATAAACCATGTACAAGGATCATCAGATGATTATTTACTTAAAATAACCGCCAAAATAACATTTAACATATGTGCAAGTAAAGCTGATACACCTTATTTTGAAGTATCCTTTTTTAGTTTAATATATAAATATCTTTTATTTTTAATTATTTTACTAATGCCCATATTTTCCATTAACGTTTGGGTTTTTCTGTATATCTTTTATCTATATATATAATATATAGCTTTTTTTTTAATTAATTAAAATTATATTTAATATACATATTAGGACTAGGAAAGATAATATTCCTAATAGTATTTAAAGGATAAATCCTTAAAAATCTAAAATTTCACAATTTAGTTTATTATTTTATTCGTTTCATTTATATAAATTTAAATGACTAGAAAAAAAGAAAAAAATAATTATATATTAAATATTTTTAAATTAATTAATAAATATATAATATATAAATAAATATATATATTAAATGTATCAATTATATATAATTTTATTAATAAAAAAAAAAAATACACCATAATTTTCGAAAACAATTTTTTACTTACCAAATATTATATAATAATTAATTATTAATAATTATAGTTAAAGTTTTTCTAAAATGATGATAAAAATCATTTGAGATGAATTATGTGCATACTGAACCCATGCACATATATAATTCATTCGATGACTAATTTACAATCGTCTGATTTTCAATAATAGAAACAAATATTTTTATATAAAAAATATTAAACAAACATATATATATATATATAAATATATATATATATATTTATTTTATTTATATATATTATATAATAATAATAAATTTTTATATATATTTTTATTTTTTATTATTTTACATATAGTTTTTATTATAATAAAAAAAATTCTACAAATAATAATAATTTTCAATCTTAAATTTTTATAAATTAAAAATAATTTGGATCATGTAAAGCTCTTTATAATGTAAATCTATAAGTTAAAAGCGCTTTCGTATTTTTTATTTTTTTTGAGGAATAAATATATTAAAGACAATTTTCTCTAAAAAACTTAAAGGACATAATTCTAAAGACCTTATTAAAAGTCTTTAATTTTTAATCATATTCATTAGGCAGCCATAAATCTCTCAATTCTTTAATTGTAGTAATTTTCGTTTTTAAATTATTCAAAAAATCTTCATATTCAACAATATCATAATAGTTTCCAAGTAATTATTTTACTTATATATTATTTTTTTGAATGTAGTTTATTATAGCTTTTGAGTAATTTTTTGGAATGTTTTTTGTTTCATTCATTTATTTTTTACAAAATTAAGATCTTTTACTTTTCATGCTCATCTATGACTTTTAATCTTCTGTTTTTAAGTTTAATTCTAATTCGCAAGATTCCATAATTATTTTTTTCATTTCAAGTTGATTAATTCCATTAAATCTTTCATTTTTAAGACTTTTGTTTTAGTCGAATTCTTATTGGTGTTGTAATTAGTATTTTTTAATTAACATCTATTATTCTTATTATTATTTCTATTATAAATAAAACTATTTTTTTTAAGCTATAGCAAGTAATTCTTATTATTATTAAAAATTATCAAATTTATTAATATTTTAAAATCCTTAATAATTAATAAACTATTAACTCGGATATTAATTTATTTGTTATAATGGCTATAGTTATTATTACTACTATTATTATTGCTATAATTATTACTGTTACTATTATTACTACGAATACTATTATTATTATAATAACTATTATTACTATTATTACTATTATTACTGTTATTATTACTATTATTACTATTACTATTATTACTATTATTACTATTACTATTATTACTATTATTACTATTATTATTACTATTACTACTATTATTACTATTATTATTATTATTGCTATTATGATTATGATTATGATTACGATTACGACTATTATTATTATTATGGCTATTACTATTATTATTACGGTTACTATTATTATTATTACGATTATTACTATTATTATGGTTATTTTTATTAAGGTTATTACTATTATTGTTAAGGTTATGGCTATTATTATTAATATTAAAAGTTATTTTATTAATATAATGATTGTTATTACTATTATTATTATTATTATTAATATAGTTATTATTTTAAAATAATATCTTTTTGTTAATTTTCTTATTGTTATTTATGAATATCTAATAATAACTATTATTTTTATTATTATTCCAATTTTTATTTAATTTGACTATCAATATTTCTTTAAAATGTTAATTAATTAAGTAGACTCTATTACTATTATTATTATTATTATTACTATTACTATTATTATTATTATTACTATTATGATTAAGATTATGATTATTATTGTTATTCAACCATGAGTTTTTACAAATATTATTATTCGTAGTCCTATCTTTGCTTTTATTATTATTATTTTTAAATTTCATAAAGTTATTCTTTTTATCTATTGTATATTTAATCAAGTTAATTTTTTTTTTTATTAATAAGAATTTGTTTTTTATTTATTAATTATTCCTTAACTCAATTATTTTTCAGCCTAATTTTAATATATTTATTAATTTTTATTACCAAATTAATATAAATTTGAATATTATTAAATATTATTATTTTCTAATTATTATAAAAAAGCCTTCGTTGAATCAAAACCCTAAATACCTTAGTTTTATGTATATTATTCCAAATTTAATATCTTTAATTAATCCTTTATTTATATTTGATAAAATATATAAATATATAATTATTTACTTCGGCCAGATTAAAATTCTATACATAAGGATTATTATTAAAATTAGGTAAATTCTAAATATTTTATTAACTAGTCTTCGTTTAGTCTATTTAATTAATAGAAATCTAATTTAAAAACTTTTGTTCGAATTCATTAAGGTCTTTTTGAGCTTGGTTATCCAGTTATTATTTTTTTTGTTATAAAATATTTATATCTTCTATTCCATTTTCAATTTAAAAATTATTGTTATTATTCGGAATAATATTAATATTTTAAACACTTTATTAATTATTTATTACTTATTATGAAGCCGTAGCAAAATTCAAAAAAATATTGTTTTTGCTATTTAGAGTTGTATCGCATCTTCCAGTTATAGGCGAATTCTAATAGTTTGTAAAAAGCTGTAAATTTAAAGGAGAATTAAGAGTACAATTTTATAAATTATCCTGTAAAATATTATTATACCCATCTATGATTTATATGTAATTCTTGCTATCTATATTTTATGGAGAATTTTCAGTTTGATAAAACATACCTTATTAAAATTAAAATTATATTACTTTTTTACTTGTTTTTTAAATAGTATTATTATAAAAAGTTAAAGAAAAATGATTATATATATATAATTTAAATTTTGTAGGATGATATTAAAGAAAAAATAAATAAATATACAGATATATATATAAATATATATGTATATATATAAAAAAAATATATATAAATTTATTTAATCATATATATATACAACAAGTATTATATAAATAATTAAAATTAATTTAATCATATATATATTTTAAATTTTTTTTATTTCTTTGTAATTAAGATTTTATATATTTTTGTTTATATAATATAATTTTTTTATATTTAATTTTTTTTTAATTTAATATTAATGTTATTCATATTTTATTATTTATTTAATGTTTTTAATTTAATTTAAATATTTATTTTTAATTAAATTATAAATCTATAATTTTATATTTAAAAATTAACCATTTATATTAATTTATATAAAATTTTGAAGATAAGATTTATTTTATTGTTAAAAGATAATTTTATTAATAAAATCATTAAAAATTATATAAAATAATATATATAGATTTTTATATTATTAAATAAACTTCTTTCAATATAAATTAATAATATTAAATTAAAAATATAAAAAAAAATTATTTTTAATTAATAATAAAAAAAAAAAAAAAAAAATAACATATAAATTATATAATAAAATAATTAGAAATTATTATTTAATTATATATTTTTTAAAAAAATAAATAATATAATTAAAAATTAAAATATTTTATTTTAATTATGAACAATATATATATATATATATATTTTATATATAGTATGTTTAAATATTGTTTCAAATTAAAAATAACAAAATTTTATATTTTCATATTTTTTTTATATAAAATATTGTTTTTATATTATTAAATTTATTTTCTAAAAATAAATAAAAAAATTATTTTAAAAATATAAATTATAAATTTCTAAATTTTTATATATAATAATAATAAATTAAAAATATATAAATAAATTAAATTCTTTTTTTTTTTTTTTTTTTTTCTAAAAATCTATAATTTATCTTTGAAATATTAAAATATAAAATTAATTTATATATAGATATATAAAAATAATAATTATAAAATAAAACAAAAAATTTATATTAAATATGTAATTATACATTATGCTTTTTCTTTTCTTTTTTTTTCTCTCTAAATAAATAGACTTTAAATTAAATTTTTTATAAAATTATTATTTCGCATTAGTGATAAATTATCTAATATTTTTTATTTACAAAAAAAAAAAAAAAAAAAAATATTAGTTAATAATATTATAAAAAAATGGGATAAAATAACTAAAAACATTATGATAAATAAACATTATAAATACAAAAAAAAATAAAAATATATTAAAAAGAATAAATATAATTTTTAAATAAATTCAAAACCGAGAATTTAATTGATTAAAATATATCATTTTCTTTTAATTAAGTACAAAAAATTTACATTTACATATTAAATATACTAAATTTACATAAAAAAAAGTGTTTTGAATACTTAATATTTTCAATTGATAATCTTATTTAACAAAATGAATATGATAATACTGAATGGATGAATTAAATAAAAATTACTTTATAAAGCAATAAAATATAGATAAATGAATTAATTTATCAATAAAGATGTGACTAAGAAGAATTTTTAATTTTTTTAAGTAAAGATATATAAATATATATATTATATACATATCTTATTTTTTTTATAGATAATTTAAAAAATAAGGTTAATATTTTTCTATTAAAGAAAAATAATAATTTAATAAAAAAAATTGATTATTCATAAGTCCCTTTTAAAAAAAAATTATTAAGGGTTTCTAGTTTCGATAAATTATTAAATTATATAGATGAGTTATAGTAATAATAGAGACAAGAAAATTAAAAAAATATGCTCTAAAATTCATATATTGAATATAAATAAAATAAAGAATAATACTCAAGATCTCAAATAAGAATAGAAGAAGTTGATTAATAAGATATAATTTAATAGAAAATATACTATTATAAAAAATAAATAATAATCTTTATATAAGAAAAAATATGTCAGTCTTAATATAATTTATTAGGTTTTTTCTTAATTTTATTTTTGAAATAATTTTGTAAATACTATATGAGTATTAAAGTCGAACAGTAAATATAATCTGAAATCTTACGTTTAGAAAAAAACAAATTTAATTTTTTTTAAAATAATAATATATAAATTTAACCTATTAAGCTTTTTTATAAATAGCTTTAATAATTCATTATAATATATAGAAATTTTCTAAAGGTTTACTTTAATTTTTAATAAATTACTTAATAATTTACATACCTAAAATACATTACAGATGATATATTATGGAATTTCATTATCAATTTAATTTTTAAAGATTAACTTTTCTTTTCCTAATAGGCCTTGAATTTATATACTATTTAATTAAATTTTAATACAAGAATAAACCAACTTTAAACAAATAAATTAGCTTAATATAAATTCTTAAGCCTAAAAAACAAAGATATATAATTCTTTTAAGTCAAAGAAAAGTACACTTTATAAGTAAATGATAATAATAAATAATAAGGAGATATTATATTGTAAAAAAACATTGAATATCATGAAGATGAAAAAACTGATATATCTAAAAGTTAGAGCAAAAATATAATTTATTATAAATCTATAAAATATTTATAAAAAGTACAATTTGTAAAAAGTCCAATTTAAAAGCTTAAGTTTATTTTAAAATCTTTTTAGAATATTAAAATTACGGTTTAGGAATTTTATTAAAACGAGAATTCGAATGTCTCGGCTGAAGATTTAATGGATATTGGGGTTTACATTTTAGTTAAATCTTAGTAGTATTAAATTAATAAAGATATTATATTTATATAAAGTTGTTTGAATTAAAATATGCTTAATAATTAAGAAATCGGATATTATTTGTAAGTTCTTTAAAATTGCTATTATTATATCATTAGCTAATCCTTTTTGGATGAAAGCTTTGATAATAAGTCTTTACTTTAAGAAAAAGTTAAAAGATCATAATGATAATTATATATGTATATATATATAATATGGATTTACTTTAAGAAAAAGTTTAAATATAATAATGATGATTTCAAATATATGTATATAAATTTTATTTATTTTACAAAAATAAACAAAACAAAAAAATTTAAGTTTTTATATAAAAATAATTAGTTTTTTTATATATATATATATATTTGAAAAATTTAAATATTTTTATAATTTTAATATTTTTTTAAATATTAACAATTTTTTTTTTTTTTTGTGAGAAAATCTCTATATTTTTATTTTATTATTTTAAATAATAAATTTCTTCTTTGTTTTTTTTTGTTATTTATATTTAAAATATTAATTATTATTATTCCTTTTTTTTTTTTAAAAAAAAAAAAAAAACATTAATAAATATACATATAATACAAAAAAAAGTCGTTTAATAATGAACCTACCAAACAAGGTAATAAACATAATAAATTTAAATATTATTAGCTTTATATAATATTATATTATATATTTATTTAAAATAAAAAGATTGGGCTATCTTAAAACAGATATATATCTCCTTTAAATAGCAAAGTAATAGAACAAACACAAACAAATTTCAGTAAATTAAATAACATGCAATCTCTATTTTTAAATAAAAATAATGATTCATAAATTGTAAATATATAAATAAATATATATTCTTAACAAAAAAAAATGTAGGTAAGCCAAAAAATCGTAAAAAAACCTATATTGGAAAAGCCGTTTTTTAACGAAAAAATATAGCAAAACATTACAAATGATGTAAAAATGGAGGCCTAATAGTAAATAAAATCATATTTCCAAAATAACCAAAAGAGTATTCAAAAAGATGAACAAACGTTTCGATATGGAAAACTTTAAAATTAAGAATAGACAGAAACATCTTATTAAAAATTGATAATAGACCGAAACCATTAAAATATTAAATAAAAATTATAAAATATAACTCGGCCTATTTCTTTTCATAATATCAATACGAATAATTTAAATAATGATAGTAATATTTTAAAAAATAACAATAGTAATAACAATATTAAGAACAATAATGGAAATAATTCTTGTATTAATATTAATAATAGTAGAATCTAAATTCTTTAATAATAGTCAGAAAGATATATGAATAATAATAAATTTTAATTTTAAAATTAAAGGAACGAGAATATTTTCGTAAATAATAATAAAAATGAAGAAAATAATAAAAAGAAAATCTACAGTGCTAACCAAACTCCTATTAGAAACAATAGAAAATCTGATCTGATAAGTATTAATGAAAACATATTGAAAGATAATATAAATACATATCATATAAATAAGAATTAGTAAATGTAATAAATGGATAATAATTTATAAAAAATATAAGAATAACTAAATAATTATTAAGATCCTTTTAAAAAGAGTAAAATAATTAATTTAATTAAATACAAATATATATATATATATATATATATATATATTATAAAATATTAATTAAAAATAAAATATTTATATATATATATATATATATTTATATTAAAATAAAAATAATATATATATATATAAAAGTTTTAAATCAATAATCAAATAAAAGTATCAGTGAAAATAATACACCTACTACTTGTAAAGAATAGAAAAGCTATACAAGTAGAAATACATAAATATTAACAACTAATAATTAGAATCATTAATAATAATTATGGAATAATTAAAATAATTAGAATTAAATGACATAGAATGAATATAAACAAAAAATAATTGAATTATAAGTAGAAATATAAAAGCTTTAAGAAGAAAACATTCAACTCAAAAACAATCAAAATTATAATAAAGAAATCGAATTTGCGAATCAATAATTATACAGCCTAAAACAAATTTTTATTGAAAAGAAATAAGAACTTGAAAACTAAATCGAGCAAAATAACTAGACTTAAAGATATTTAAAAAATCAACTAAAACAAGCCACAAAGGCAAACGAAGAATTAGTTTAATAATTAGAAGTAAGCCAAAATCAAATTAAAACCTTAAAAAACGAAATAATAAAATACTCTTCCTTATTATAAACAACGACCCCAAATAATAATAATCAATTTAATACAAATAATAATAATAATAATTAATTTAATACAAATAATAATAATAATACGTCTTTCTATTCTAATAACAATAATAATTCTTAGAATCATTAAACAAGTCATAATAATTCAATACATACAAACAGACTTAATGTGAGCGATTAATTAAACGAAATTGAGCGTGAGAATAATTTGTTAAAAGTAGAAATGAATGAGATGAAAAGCCTATTCGATAAAAATATCATTTAGTTAAGTGAGAAATACTAATCTTATATTAAATAATAGGATGTTAAAATTGAATAATATAAATAAAAAATTAACTAAATTTAAAGCGAATATGAATAATAGTAATAAATTATTTCGAAATATTAAAATGAATTATTAACAATTATTGAAAATAATGAAAATAATGAAAATTTGTTGAATGATTTGAAATAATAGAAGGTTAATTATGAATTGGAAATTTAAGAAATTAATAAATAATTGGAATTAAAAAACTAGGCTTTAGAAAAAATGAATAATGATTTTTTATAATAAAATTAAGATATTTAATAGGAAATAGAATTAAATAAATAACTAGAAAGTATTATTGAAAACATTAATAAGATTTATTAAAATATGAAAGTGAAATTCAAGAAATAAATAAAAATCATTAATTATTAGAATTTTAATTAAATGAATAAATAAATTCTAAATAATTACTTCTAAATGAAATGAAAGTTAATAATTAATAATAAAAATATGAATATAATAAGAAAGAATAGGAATTTTCGAAAATATAATTAGAAATGTAATAATAATTCGAATAAAAGTAACTAAAAATATAGTAGCTTGAAGAAGAGTTCAAATTAAAAAATTAATAACAATAAGAAAAATATGAATAATTAAATAAAAACTTCTTATAATTAAAATAAAAATAAAGCCAAGAAAAATCAAACTTTTTATAATTAAATCAATTAAAAGAATAAGTAGAGGATTTATAAGAAATAATAAAGCAAAAAGAAAAATAAAATAATGATTTTTAGAATAAAATAGCCCTATTATAAAAATAGGAAAAAATCAATATAGAAAATAATTAATAATTGTAAATGTTAACTGAATAGTTATAATAACAAAATCAAAATATAAAATTAATAATTAAATGAATTTAAAGAAGAAAGCTTTAATTAATAAAAATTCATTGAATAATTATAAGAACAGGAAAATACTTTATTGAATAAATTGATGATATGTAAAGTTAAATTAATAGTTATTAATAATAAATTGAATAAGACTAAGAACTAATCGATTAAATATAAAAATAGAAAGACCATTTCATTTAAAACATAAAAATATAAACTGAAAATTTAAATAATGATAAGAAATAACTATAATAAGTAATCAATTAACTTTATGATGAAAATAATGAATTAAAGGAATGTATTAATTAATAAGATATTGAAATATAGAATTTATAATAAGAACTATTATAATACTAATAATAAATAAATGATTATTAATAATAATAGAATGACTTTTAATAATAATTGACCAATTATTAATAATAGGAAAATATATTAAACGATTAAAAAAAAGACTTGGAATAATAAATAAATGAAATTCTATAAAAAGAAAAGGAATTTCAAGATGGCATTTTAAATGACTAAGATAATAAAATTTAATAAATTTAAAATAATTATAAATAAAAAGAAACGGAGTTTTATCAAGAAATTAATAGTGTATAAGATTAATGCGGAGAATTAAAATAAAATATGAACTAATTAATTAATTAAATAGAAAATTTAAACGAAGAAAAAAACGAATATTTAAATTAATTATAAAATAAATAACTGTTAATTTTGGAAAATGCATAAGAAATAAGCTCATTATAGAATAACATTTAATAATATTAAAATGATATTGATAATTATTCTAAATAAATAGATAACTTAAAAAATTAGATTGGGTAATTAAATAAAAATATGGATCGAATAAATAAAGAAAATAGTAATCTGTAAAATTATTTAGAAAAATAGAAAGAAGCTTTTGAGTTTTTATAAAATAAACTAAATAAAAATATATAGAATTTAGAAAAAAACAATATGGAATTAAAATAAGAAAATAAAGGCTTTTAAGAAAATATTAATAATTATTTAACATAAATAGAAGAAACGAATTAATAAAATAGTATATTATAATAAGAGAATATAAAAAAATAGGAAATTAATCAATTATTGGAATTAAAAATAGAATAATTCGAATAAATTAAAGATTAAAATTTATAATAATAAGAATTATTATTAAATATATAATAATTAAATGAAGAAAATTTAAAAAAAAATTAAGAAATCTAATAATATAGAGATTAGATTTTAAATAAAAATTCATAAATTTAATAATATCATATATAAATTTAATAATACTAAATATAAATTTAATAATAACACGAAGAATTATTAAATAAAAAAGAAGAAATATTATAATTAAATTAATTATAATTCGATGAAATATAATCGTAATCATAAAAAATTTAAAGCTTAAACGAAGAAATTTTAGTAAAAAACTCCAAAATATAATAGCTTAAAGAAGAAAGTGAATAGTTTTTAGATTAAATATAAGTTCTTTAGCAATAACTAATTGAAAAAAAAGAGATTTTTGAGAAATATTAATTATAAGTACAAGAAGAACATAATATATATATATAAAATCAAAAAGAAACAGAAGAAGTTGAAAAATTACATATAAAAGAATTATAAAATGTAATATAAAAACAAAGAGAACAATTATTAGAAAAAGAAAACTAAAATACACTATAATTAAATGTGAAATATTAATAAATAAAAATGTTAGAAGAAGATAATAACAAAAGAGTGTAAAATTTAATTTTCGAGTTTAAAAATGAAAAAAATGAAATAGAAAATTTAAACGAGAAAATATTTTAATTAAATCAAGAAAATAATTAATTAAAATAAAATTTAAATGAACAATAAACTTAGTTCGAAAGTTTTCTAAAAAGCAAGGAAATACAAATTAAAAACCTTATAGAATAATAAAACAAACAATATAATTAAGAAGATAAGAACCTAACCTCTTTAGTTTAATAAAATTAAATTTTAAATGAATAAATATTGTAAATTTGTAATGAAATTGTTATTAAAGACCAACTTTTAGCCCAATAAACTTAAGATATTAATTCCTTTAAATAAATTATTGAAGAAAATTAAATTTTATTTAAGAACTAATAATAACAAATATAAAATTAGTAAAGCATTATAGAAAAACTTCAAGAAAATATGCAATAAAAAAATTTAATTCAAAATTAAGTCTTTGAACTTTAAGAACAAATTCAGTTTTTAAAATTATAAAAAAACAAGGAATTAGACTAACATTAGAGTGAAGAAAATAACCTTAAAAAAGAATTTAATGAACATATCTAAAAAACAAACGAAAAATACGAAAAAAAATATTGATTTTATAAGAGGAAATTTAAAAGGAAAAAAACGATATATAAAAGGAAAAAAACGATATATAAAAGGAAAAAACCGAAATTTAAAAGGAAAAAACCGAAATATAAAAAGAAAAAACCGAAATATAAAAGGAAAAAAACGAAATATAAAAGGAAAAAAACGAAATATAAAAGGGAAAAAACGAAATATAAAAGGGAAAAAACGAAGTTTAAATGGAAAAAGAACAAATTCTATCTACTTAGAAATAAATTCAAAAGGAAAGTGAATAAATTCTAGTTAAATAGGAAGAAATTTAAAGCGAAAAAAACGAAATATAAAAGGGAAAAAACGAAATATAAAAGGGAAAAAACGAAGTTTAAAAGGAAAAAGAGCAAATTGTATCTATTTAGGAATAAGTTTAAAAGGAAATTTAAAAGGAAAAAGAACAAATTATATCCATTTAGGAAGAAATTAAAAAGGAAAGAGAATTAATTCTATCTATATAGGAATAAATTTAAAGCGAAAAAGAAAAAATAAGCTAAGAATAGCAAAACTTATAAATAATGAGAAACGAGATATTATAATATAAAGAAAAAGAAAGAATGAATTAAAGTTAAGAAATGAATAATATAACTTTAAATCTCTAAATATAATAGTTTTAATACCAAATAATAAAACTAGAAGAACAACTTCAACTAAACCAATATAAAATAGAGGAGTAAACCTAATAAAGACAATAAGAAACAAGTCTAAAAGATTAAAAAATGGAAATATAAGACATATTAATAAAAAAAGAACAATAAATAAAATCATAATATGAATAAAAGATAAAAGAATAAGAAATATAAATAGAAGACATATAAAGAAACTACGAAGAAATAATCTAGAACTTAAATATAAACCACAAAAATAAATTTTAACATCAGGAAAGTTTAATTTAAACTCTAAACTAAATATAAACCGAAAAAGACTAATTAATAACTCAACTTAAAAGAGAATTACTAGAATAATAATAAGAACAGAAAGACTTTTTATTTTTAGATGATATTTGGTAGTAAATAAATACCAAAAAATCCAAAATAGAAGAGAACTATATACAAATAATCGAAAAAAAAAATCATAATGATGAAATAATATAACAATAAATATCCGAATGTGACTCTCTGAATACTATATTGTCATTTATATTCCAAGAAAATACGAAAATAACTTCCCAAAACATTCCAAAACACCTCTAAATTTCCAAAGACTTATAAATATAAATCGAAATAAGGAAAGAATAATACAAAAAAGTGCTAAAAGGCACCAAAAACACCAAAAACTCTTAATAGAAGTAATCATTTGAACTCGAAAAGCCCAAATAAATGATATAAGAACAGGAAAATATAAACCAATCTTAACTTTATGTAAATATATGTGAATTAAATTAAAAACTCAAAGGTTTTTTACAAAAAATAACTCAAAAATCCTAATAAGAATCACTAAAATATTCCATAAAATAAATGCAGGAAATACAAATGTTCAATGAATAAATAAAATAGACTATGTTCTTATTATAAATATATCAAACTGAAAAATAAAACACCTCCTTAGATAATCCAAACTCGGAAATTATGTAATAAATCTCACTTTTATAGTCTTATTATGTAGAACTCTAAATAAGGGAAGTTAAATTTAAAAAATTAATAGAATAATAAAAAACGGAAGATATAGACGAAAAAAATACACTATAAGACAATATATATCAACTATAAGACGAAAGAAACACACTAAAAAATAAAATATAAGAGCTATACGAGCTAAAAACTTAACTAGAAGGCCATATATAATAACTATAGGAGGAGAAAAACCATATATAACAAGTATAGGAGGTGAAAAACCATATATAACAAGTATAGGAGGATAAAAACCATATATAATAAGTATAGGAGGAGAAAAACCATATATAATAAGTATAGGAGGAGAAAACCATATATAATAACTATAGGAAGAGAAAAATCATATATAATAACTATAGGAAGAAAAAAACCATATTATATAATAACTATAGGAGGAGAAAAATCATTTTATATAACAAGTATAGGAGGAGAAAAATCATTTTATATAACAAGTATAGGAGGAGAAAAACCATGTATAATAACTATAGGAATATATTAACAATATATAGGAAGAAAAAGAGGCTTTAAAAAAGCATATATAGGATTTAATGGATGAAAAAAGTATAGTGGAAAATAAGATTTAATTATTAGAGTAAAATATATTGGGTTCTCCAAATATATAAGAAAATAATGTAAATGGAGTTTAAAGTAAAATTTAAGAACTCGAGAAAATATTAGAATAGAAAAATATAGAATGGTAGAATAAAGTTAATGAATTAAAAAGCAAATATAAAGGGAAGATTAAATGTATAGAATCAGGTAAATAAAAATAATTAAAAGAATAAAAAGAAAACTTAAGAATAAAAAAATTAAAGAAATTAATTAAATTAGGGAAAAACTAATAGAAAAAATGTCCATTTTGGATTAACTTTAAAAATAATAAATAGAAACTGTAAAAGAAGAAAATTTAAATTTCTATAATGAGTTTGTATCTTAGTTAAATTAAGAACATGAAGCCGTTCTCTTTTAAAAAAATTCATATATTTAAAAAATAGAAGTTTAAATTAATGATTTTAATAAAGTTTTGTCTGAAAGAAATGATCTCTAGGAATAAATAATGAAATATAAATTAATTATTGAAGAATTAAACTATTAAATAGAAAATAAAAATAAAAAAGTTACATTAAGTTAAGAACTTCTTGATTAATAAAATTAAATGAACCCAAATAGTAATAATATTAGTAATAATGCTTCTATTTCTTCCTAATCTAGTTAAATCTCTAGAGAATAAAAACAATAAATAATTAATAAATTACATAAACAAGGCTAATTTACAGCAAATTTGATGTCTTTAAAAAGAGATTATTAGTCTTTAAATAATTAACTATTCTAATAATAAGAAAAACAATGAAAAATAAATAAATATATATATATATATATATATATATATATATATATATATATATATATAATATTTTAAATTATTTGTTTTATCGAAAGAATTTTTAATTATTTTATTTTTTAATTTAAGCTAAAATTCATCCAATTTTTAAAAGGATATTTAATATCGAAAAAAATCTAACTAATTATTTGTTGTTAAATAAATTAAATTTTTTATTCAAAAACATGTATAACCTTTTAATTAAATAAATAAATATATATAATTTTATAATTTTTAGTTAAAAAAATCTCCATATAAACTTTCCTATATAAACGAATAGGCTAAGTTTATTTTAATTTATAATGTTTCGTCTAAACTTAAACCATTAATAGTACAAAAATAATCAATTAAATAATCAAAAAGCTTTATATTATCAATTTAAATGACTATTTTCTATTAATTTTTCCCTATTATTTCTACTTTTAGTTATTATTTTTATTTCTATAATTAATTACGATTTTTCGAATATTTTTTTTTTAAAAATAAATTATTATTATTTTATATAATTTCCGTATATTATTATTTAAATTCATCCTCAAATTAAAACTCTTTATGAGAAAACTTTAACTATTTCTTCTTTATTTACTAAGGTTATAAATAATTAGAAGAATCAATTGTAGACTCAGAAGTACTCAAATACAATCTTTCATTATTAACCAAAAAATTATTAAATTAACAATTAGAATCTTCTATTTATAAACATTATTCTTATTAATATTCTATTATATCACTTTAATTATTTGTTATAGATGTATCTTTATCTTATTATTATATTTAAATAATATTTTATTTAGTATTCTAATTATTAGTATTCTAATTATTAAAGGATTTTTTTCCAGAACTTTTTTTTTTTTAAATTATTATCTTCTTTTATTTAAAAAGGCTTTTATTTTTTTCAGAATTAATTTAAGATTCCTAATATTCAATATATTCAATTATCTATTTTTTTACTTTTTCTTATCTTTTCTTTTCCTGAGTTTATTAAATCTTTTCTTTTATTATTTTAAATTCAATAATAATTTAATATAAACCAACTTATATCAAACTTATAATTTTTAAACTAAAAGATATACTTAAAAGTAAAAAAACACTAAATAAAAATATATTACTATACTAAAAATATCGAATATTTTATACAAATAAACAGTTCTATACTAATTAAAATAATTAAAAAAATAACTAAAATACTTTCTATTTGTTATTCATTCTCTAATTAAATAAGTTATATATTATTAAAATTAATATTAGACATCTAGATTAAGTACTTCCTATATATAAATTAGAACTATCATTTTAAGTTTTATAATGTATACTAGTATTAAAACTTTTATTTACTAAATGTTATTGTTAGAAAGTATTATATAATATCTTATATAACTTCATATCGTTTGTAACTAAAAAAGAGTCTTTTATGATATTTAGAACATTGTTTAGTATTTTTTTCTCGTTTATATATAGAAAATAATGTTGGTTTTTCATTTTTATAAAAGAATTATTTTAAAAAAAAAAAAAAATATTATATATATGTATATATAATTTTTATTAATTTATTATAATATATAAATATTTTTATTCGTTTTTAATAATTTTTTCATATTTAAATAGGCTTAACTTAACTTTTTATATTTATTTTTAAGTTTTTTCTTATGTTTTTTTTTAGTCTATATTAAATACGTTTATTTAAAAAAAATATAATAAAGCAAAATAACATAACGCAATTCCTAAATATAAAATAAATATTTTCTATAAATATTAATAATATTTATATATATATATATATATATTCCAAAAATTATATTATTTTTTATTACATTTAATTTATTATATAATTAAAAATATTTTTATATATAAAATAAAAAATTAACTAAATATAATTAAATATTTAATTTATAAATACATATTTTTTTAAATAATGGATTTTAATTATAAAAGACTTTCATTATAAAATATATATGTAATAATAAAATATATTTATATAGAAATATTTTAAATACATTATTATCTATAAATAAGAGTTCATAATCGTTAGCTGATACAAATTAGCAAAGTAATAATTAATTCCATTAATATTTCAAACAATAGATATATAATTAATAAAACGATACGAACAATCATATAAATTTAACATTATAAAAAAAAGAAAAACAGCAAATAATCTAAAATTATTAAAAAACCTAAAATAAATATGATATAGTATATAAAGATTTAATAAAAGTAAACTAATTTCATTTTATTTAGTTTAAAATAAATAAAGTATAAAATAAATACAAATAATAAAACAAACAAAATAAAAAATATAAACTAAAATTCTTAAAAATTATTAAAATATAAAAATGAACCTAAACAAATAGATAAAATAGATCAAAATAATTAAAAGATAGATAAATAATTAAATAATTATCGAAAAATATATAAAACAAATAAAATTTACGATGAATTCCTATCCGAAAAAAAAAAAAGTAAAAGTGAATATATTAAAGTAATTTATATGTATAAT